TCTGACTTTGATCTCAGCACTTCTTGTTAATGGACAGCATTTAGACCAACAGTCATTACATAAATAATGATAAATGGTTCCTGAAAGATCAGGAGTATTTTCCCATGAGAAAAGATTTATATATTTTCTTTATTAGGTGTTCCTTATTATATTTTAAATAAATGTATATGTGTAAAATAATGCAAAAAGTCTTGGGCAATTTAAAAATAGCTTTTTTTTTAGATTTTAGCCAGGGTTGCAACATAGTACAGAAAAGATAGAATGTACTCTTAGAATTCAGAAAGATGGCTTCAGGTCCATTCTAAAACTTCAGTAGTTGAGAAAACTTGAGCAAGTTTTTAACCATTCTGATGCACTTTTTTTTATATAATGTTATCATTTTCATGAGCCTATATTAATGATGCCTGGTTGGACTAGTGGAAATCAAACTTCAGTGTGCACACACAAAGTCTGGGGATATCTTTAAAATGCAGATTCTGATTTAGGAGGTTTTGGGTAGAGATTGAGAGTCTCTATGTCTAACATCCTTCCAAATGATGCTGATGCTACTGGATTTTGGACCACATTTTGTAGCAAGGATAGGGTTTCTAATCCTCATCACTATTGACATTTTGGTCAGATAATTCTTGGTTATGGGGGATTGTCCTGAGCATTGTAAGATGGTTAGTAGCTTCTGTGGCATAATTTTTGATATATAACAGGCATCAGATGAATATTTGTTATTTCTTTTCACCCCATCTTCTACTTTGACTTGGTAGTAATCAAAAAGTTTAGATTTATAGTCACCCTCAGGATGATAGGATTTTCCAGAACAGAAGTCAGTAAAATAATACCCATAGGCCAAATCTAGCCTACCACCTACTTTTTTAAAATAAAGTTTTATTGGGGCACATCCACAGCCATTAGGTTATCAATTTTCTATGGCTCCCTTTGCAGAATAACAGCAGAGTTGAGTAGTTCCAGCAGAGACTCTTTAGCCCACAAAACCTAAAATATTTACTACCTGGCCCTTAGTAGAAAAAGTTTGTCAAGCCCTGTTCTTGAAACATGAAAGTCCTGGACCTTTAACTCTCCCAGCTACAGAAACAGAGTTTTGCAGCAGCTTTTTTAGTATAAGTCAATAAATGTGAAGTCAAGAACATTTTCTTTTGGTTTATCCCAAAGAGAGAGGCTAGGGTTTTTCTGTTTTTCAAATGAAGCATTGTCTTCCACAACTCAGGCATTATGCAACCTCTTCAGAAACAGTGAAAATAAGAACAAAACCCAGGTGCCAGAGAGTATTGGATAAGTTTCCTTTCTAAAAACCTTTTTCTAAGCCCAGATAATTTACATGCCTAATTACAATTGACAAGAGTCAGTTACAGAAGAAAACTGAATCCCCTATAGCTGGCAACTTTATTTAACCGTAGTGTGTTTGTGCTACTGACTGGTAATTTGCATGTATGCAAGGGTTTATAAGTCTTAGAGGAGCCAGACTGTTTTAAAAGCAAACTCAGAGGAGTTTTAGTGGAAGTACATAGGCAGAAATTTTTCTGAGTGAAGATGAAAAATGTTTTTTTTTTTAAAGTAAGGTTTTATGGAAGCTATATGGGTAATCTGGATTCAGTTCCTATTTGTAGAGTAAATATGGAATGTGTACCTTTAAGTATAATTTTATCCTGGTGGGACCTCTGTAGACCTGATCGAGTAACCTCTATTATAACTGCTTCATACGCTCTTATGCTTACTCTGAAGCAAGACCTATATTAGGAGAGGTCAGGGTTTTTCAGTCTCAGCACTGTTGACGTTTTGGACCAGATAATTCTTTGTGTGTGGAGTCTGCGCTGTGCATTGCAGGATGCTTGGCCACTCCCCTGGCCTTTATTCACTAGATATCAGTAGGAACTCCCTCCCCAGTTGTGACAATAAAAACTGGCTCTAGACATTGCCAAATTTCATCCAAGGAACAAAACCACCCCCAACTGAGAACTACTGCATTATATTATGCCATAAGAAGAATTTCACAATATCAGTGGTTAACTCCCACCCCCAAGTATTTCTGGTTTATACAAATTATATTGGAAAGGTCTCCAGGGAAATTGTCTCTATGTGGTAGCTGAGTATTCTGGGCTACTTTGATTTTATGGCACTTCCAATCAGCCCAAGCTTCCTAGTTTATCATAGAAAGTAAAGAGAGAGTGTAGAGCTGAGTAATTCACCTAAATATATATGCCCAGAAGTGAGGTAGTCCACTTCTGTTCACATTTCATTGATCAAAGCAATTCATATGTTCAAGAGAGCCTACCTTCAAGAGTGTGAGAAGTGAGATGCTTTCCAAGAAGATTAACAGACATGTTAGTGACCAGGGATATGTTCTGGTATTATCTGTTCCTCTCTCACATCTTCAAAGAAATCTTGCTGCTACTGAGAACTATAGCATTGTAAAGGATAAAGAGATAGGATAATATCTTGGTTGATACCATGGGTTCTGTAACCAGAGTACTTGGGGTTGACCACCAGACATATAGCTGTGATTTTAGACAAGTTAGGCAACCTCACTCTGCCTGAGTTCCCTTATCTATAAAACAACATCTAATAGAAATGCCTATCTCATATGAATATTGTCAGAAATAAATGTCTTAACATTTGTAAGATTAAGAAAAATGCCTGGTACATAACAAGTATGGTGTAGATATGTTTAAAATAAATATAAAGAAATCATATGTTTGGAGATAATAATTATATATGTTTTATATAAAAATATTGAGAGGCTGGAAAAAGAGCACTAAGGAGTATGTATTCAGAGAAAGTTCTTGACTGTCAAATATAGCTCTTCCATGCCTGTACATTAGAAACATACTGTATACATTGAAATGCCCAGAAAGGCATGTTTCCTAGTATGACTTGCAGCTGCTTACCAAGTTCTGGAAAATAAATCAGTAAAAGTTACCCAGTGTTTGAAAGTATATTTTAAAAGTTCAACCTAGGCCAAATGAGATACCAATATACTTGCTGTCTGTTCATTCAAAGCCCAATTAACACGTTAGCATTAACTATAGATGAAAATGTATCTTCTCTTGCTTATTGTTAGAACTTTATTAGAATATTTCCCTTATAAAGGTATTTAATACTATTTTAAATATCTACCATATAAAGTTTTTCAATGTTATTTAAATATCATGAAAGTATTAAGTACCTAAGTGTTCAATCTTTAGTAGTATTTGTTCAGCATTTTATTTCATGTAAACTCATTAATGTACTATGACCATTCAAAGAGATGCCACCCCAAGGAGGCTACAGGGCCAGGATCACTGATAGAAAATAATGCAGTTGCATCAGACTTTCCTCTTGTGGTATTTGGGCATTCTTTAGAATATATTTTAGAAAATGTTTCCATGTAACAGCATAAAAATTAAATGTTCTTCCATATGTCCAGTATTGGTAACTTGATTTCCTAAATTTCTCAAGCTCAAATGCTTTGAAACTCTCAAACATCAGCATGGATATTGACTTCCATGATGTTCACCATTTTGTCTCTCATCTTTCAACATAATTCTGGTCTAGTCTTTCGGATCTTCTTTACTACTTGTTTCTTTTCTCTTTGATTGTTATAGTCATAGAAACCTACAAGTGAAGAAATTTCCTGTTGCCACCCAACTTCCAAAAATTTTATTAACATTGGCCTGCCTGAGCTAAAAAGAAAGGACTCAGAAAGAGCAAATGATTTTTCTCATTAATTCATGTTTTACAAAGTGTGTGTCAAGGAACATCTATGTTAGAATCATGTGATGAGCTTGTTAAAAATGTATGTTTGTAAGGTTCAGGCTAGACCTGGTGTATCACAATCTTTAGGAAGATGCCAGAAATCTGTATTATTAACAAACTCTCCAGCTGATTTCTGCATACACCACATCACTGTAGTCAAATTGTTTTAAGAAGATATCTTATAATAGGATCCGCTATACATATCTAAAATTCATTTGTAGAATACGCAATGGGAGCACAATAAATTATTTGAAATATTTAATATCATTGTGCATATGAAATTATTATTATATTCCCTTTGCAAAATTATATACACATGTCTTTTATAATTATTAGTCAAAGTTTATGTTCATGATTTGACCTGTTTGATTATTTTATCAGGGTCAGAAATACAATCAACAGAATAACATCAGATGGACATGCTTAGAGAAAAGAATAGCAATGTTGTGTCTGTGATTGTGTACATGCAGGTTTTAGTATATTTTCCACTTCCCTGTGGCTTTATCTTCACAAAATTTTCAGAAACATTTCTAAATAATAGATTATAAGCTCTTGTAGAGCAGAAGCAGTGCTTCCTTCCATCTGTAAAATATCCTGGTGTGATGAAATGTCCTGAATTCTTGTTAAACATTAATGGTGATAAGCAAACTTGCCTAAACATGACTACTCCAGAACATGGTTATCAGAATTTCCTCTTGAAATGGTTATCTATAATCCACTTATATATTAGTATAATTGACAAGGACAAAGATAGTGCTAATCTCAAGTGTGTATTCAATATTGTGATGGAAACTCACTTCTCTTTTAAGGCCCCTGGTTTTGGCATCATTAAATTATAAGCAAAAATACTTTAGCATATGAATAATCAATAGTTTCAAAATTAGCTTAACAAAGTAAATTTGAACAAAATTGTATTGGTCAGGATTCTCCACAGAGATGGAGTCAATAGAAGATAGGTAGATAGTTAGGTTGATAGATAGATGAAGAGGGATTTATAAGGGAAAATGGCTCATCTGGTTATGGAGGCTGAAAAGTCCCAGGACAGGCTGCCTGCAGGTTGGAGACACTGGGATGCCAGTAGTGTGGCTTAGTCAAAGCCTGAAGACCCGAGAACCTGGAGGCCTACTAGTGTATTTTCCAGAGTCCAAAAGCCAGTGAGTCTGGAGTTTTGATGTCCAAGGGCAGAAAAGGAGGAGTGTATTCTATCTCCAAGAGAAAGAGTCCAATTCACCTTTCCACTGTTTTTGTTTTATCAGGGTCCCCTGCCAACTGGATGGTGCCATCCACATTGAAGGCAAATCTTCCCTCACTCGGAAGGAATCAGTCCACTCAGACTCATTCCACTCAGCCTCACAAGCCAATCTCCTCTGGAAACACCATCACAGGTACATCTAAAATAATACTTTATCAGTTTTATAGGTATTCCTCAATTTGGTCAAGTTCACACTTAAAATTAACCATCACAAAAGGTATTATAGTTATGACTTCTCCCTATATTATAAATTTTCCACTATCAACTTTCTTTTATATCAGCATAATAATCACAGACCATAGGAAGCAGTGGCAACGTTATCAGAAATAGGAAAATGAGACTAACTAAAACAATTTGAATACATTTGTTCTTGGACATCTTATTAGGGTTGTACCTTCTTAAGAGTTTTGCACCCTATGGTATCCAGCCTCAATCTATCAGCTTTCTGAAAATCCTCTGAGGGAATCTACGTAACACTAATACCTTTACATGAAGGATTTTATTTAGATCTTTGTGCATTTTACAGTAATATCAGCATTAATACATAAATACATATTAAAAACAATACTTAGAGACATCAAATATAAAGAGACAAAGGATCACACTCTATTTCACAAAAGAAGGTATAAAAATGTTCCAATACAAAATTAAATACAGCTTATATCTATATGGATCCTATCAGTACATGAAAAAAAGTAGGGTGTCAAACGGTTTTTTTTTCCCCAAGAAGCTTGATGTGAATATTTCCTGTTGGGCAGACCTGGATTACCCCCAACTTCACCAAATTCATCACTTCATACTTGGTAACAGCTACCAAAACATACAAGCATGATTTACATGAGTGACTGGCTCAACATGCCCAATTCTTGCTCAATCCTCCTAATCCACCAGCTACACAACCCACATGCAGACAAACACACATTTTCTATCCTTCTCAGTCATACTGAGCTTAATGGTAAGTGCTCTGTGCTTTCTTATGTCTCCACGCTATGTCTCATGCCCTTTCCTATGCTTGAAAAACTCTATTTTCTCTCATCTGTTTGGTGAATGTTACTTATCATTTGCCACTCAACAAGCACTGCTGGAAAAATTGTCCTGATGTAAGCAGGATGAATTAGGTGCCCTTCAGTAAGTCTTTAAGGACTGTAAGTACCTTTGGTATAGTATTTATCACATTATATTCAAAGGTTTGGTGACCTTGTCTCTCTTCTACTAGAATGTAGGCTTTGCAAAGGTAAGATGAGTGCTATTGTATTGATGTCTCCAGAGGTTAGCATAATACCTCCCAAATAATAGAAACTCAAGGAATGCTTGCCAAATGAGTGAACATGAAAGTGTTTGACTCTTAGGAGAATGGGGAATGGGGGAGGAGGAGGAATGTTATGATGACAAAGCTAAATTTGCAGAGGCAGTGTCCTTTATTTCTCCCCAGAGCAATTTAGTTACCATGATAAATGTTTCCTGGTACTTGTGGGGCCTCATATTTATGCCGACTATCAGATCAAGGCTTGTGAATCACACATAAATTCGTAATCTACTTTCCTTTCAAAACTTTCTTTTCTGTTTAAATGGTATGATACATACTAATACATTTATAGTTGCCATGTGTACCTTTTGCTTAATGATAATTATGAATGTATCAGAATAATGAATATCATATGATTAATTTGCTAACTAGCATTTCTGAAGTTGTTTGATGTGGAACACTGGTTGGAATGTTGCTTTTTTGCAGTTAAAAAGGAAAATGGTGAAGTACTCTAGGATAAAATATATTTGAATAATATTTAGTCAAACATAATTTAAACATGCTACTGTAGTGCACTTTTATGTGGTTATTGCTATGCTACATTGTGACTATAGAAGAAAGTAAGATGATAAGCAGTGATTTCCAAATCTATTGGACCACAAACATTTTTTTATTTTTGTTTGTTTGTTTATCTTCCTCCCAGAAGGTATGTAGCAATAGTAGATCTGTTGACATATTTTAGAACATTCTAAGAGTGTGCTCTCTGGCATAGATCAATGAGGACAGTATAAATTAAAGAACTTAGTTCAATCAAACATGCTCCTTTCTAACAAAAGATAGCTTGATTAAAGTAATTCTATACATAATGATTAAATTATATTAAACCATGCTTACATATACTTAGAAAAGAAAATACCATTAAGCATGAGAAAAATATCTTTAGCACAGAAAGCTGAAATTGGTGTTCTGTCTCTGATTTTTACTTTTTAATTATTCTAGTTTAACTTAAAGTATTCACTTTCTAAGTTACTTGTTGAGAGGCTTTGTTAATAATCTCTTCAAAGAAAATTTGTTTTAAACCATCAGCTTCTATTTCTGAACTCTTCCTTCTTTGTCTTGCTATCTTGAGAGGTGGAGAAGTTGTTTAGAGCAGAAGTCATAGGAACTAGTTGAATCTAAGTTCTACCTATTTCTAATTTTGTGGTATAAACAATATAATAACCCTTTTTGAGCTCCAGTTTTTTTTAATTTTATTTTTAAATGATTCAGGATATTTATTGACTCATTGGGTTGGATGAGGATAACCCAAGCCTGATATGGTGATATCGCAATGTTTCTAGTCAGGGCCTAGAATATTTTAGACACTTAATAGTCACTTAATCCATTAGTCAGTCAATTATCCAACCATTCGAAAACAAGGAAAGCTTTCCCCAGAAGTTTGTTCTCACCATTTTTCCATATCATTTGCACTATGATGGATCCAAAGAGAACCTGGCATATCCATGTATTTTTTTCTCCAATCATGATCAAAAGTCATCTTAGTTATGTCTGAACAAGCATTGATTTCTCACTTTCCAATGAAACCTTTTTTTCTTTTTTCATCAAAAATTTGATGGGAAAACATCATCTTATAATTTGGCTTTTTCCTAAATTTTACCCTTTCTAGAGACTGCATATGTGGGTATTTTCAGAATAAAAATGAAGATAAACCTACATTTTAAAGGAATTCCCTCTTCTTTTAGTGTCCTGTTCATGTAATTTGAGTAGAAGAGAACTGAACAAGGTAATCCTTGCTTACATGGCTAAGCAATGTTCTACACATAAGAATAAGGATGTAGTAAGTGTTCAAATAATAAATATCCTTTGAACACACTGTGGCACCATGCAAGACATTTGGCATGCAATGCCCACTTTGAATCTTTCCAATAGCACTTTGCAATAGGTATCATCATCACATTTACCAATAAGGAAGCTCAAAATATAAGGTTATGAGAGTTCAAATAATTTGCTGATATTTCATAGCTAGGGAATGACATAGCTGGCATCGAAATCCACATCTTTCCAATTCAAAATTCACCCTCATTACACTCCACCTTATTGCATCAAGAGGCCAAACTGCAGCCAGAATTCAGCTTTTGCTGACTCTCACTGTAACTGATAAATTTTACCAGAAGTTACCATTGAAATGTTTATGAAACAGTCCTGCACTCAAGCTGAAAGACATAGTCATGAAGAGAAAGGGTAAAGAAAATTGTGACAAAAATAAGAAATTGAAGAAACGAAAGTAAGAGAACTCTACTGAGAAACACAAAAATACAAGTGAATTACAGCCCAGAGAACAAATTCCTTTAACTCATTGGCTTTAATGGAAATGTATCATAACAACTTTCTGTGCTATTTCATGCTTTGTACGTGTAGAGCTTGATTCTTTGATCATTCTACAAGCTATACTAAATCACATACAGATTATAAATTTATGCATTTTCTATATAGTTAATCAAGTTTTTTACTACTTTTGGCCTTAGTATAATTATTTTAATGGGTATATAAAATATAGACCTATCAAAGATGATAGCTTTATAGGCTGGCTAATATCTTAAATTGAATATTATGTCATATTAAATTTGGAGAATTTCTTGAACTTGGAAAAAATGACTCAACTTTTTATGTTTGAAGAATATACTGGCAACCTGAGTTTGAAAATACTGTAGCCTATTGCAGGTTATTGTCATGAAGGTTGTCTCAGACATAATGAAAGATAAAGAAATTGGTCCTTTATAGAATAAATCACAACTTTCCTGCTAAAAGAAGAGCCTAGAATACAAGCTAGAGGAAATTTAAAATAATATAGAATCCATGTGACCTTTATTATTATAACACATTCTAAACTCTATTTCCATGGAAACAAGGTGAAAAAATAACAGGGAATTTGACAGAGTTGAAAACAAGGGTGGTAAGGAAAGAATCTTTTATGCATATCCTGCATTAAGTCTGTAGCAACAGTCATGTGGGGTCAAAGGCCCAGTCTTACAAACAGCAAATCACTGAAACCTCAGATCTTGTGTTGTCCCTCCTATAAGAAACCATCAACATTATGTCCATCAAGCCTACATCGCTATCTACCAGAATTCTTGCCAAATGTAAAAGCCTGCCTTGCTACCTATTATATCTTCACTTTTCCTAAATTCTCATCCCCATGCCACTCCTTATATAATCCATTTATTAACCAAACTTTCCTTTCCCTCCCAAACTTTTCAACTGAGATCTTTTTTAATTGCCATCCAATGGTCATTAACTCCCTTGTATCCTCATCTTCATCTTCAAAGTGCCCTCCTTGACCTTGAAGTGTACCCTGATGGCATTATTTTCCTTCCAGCAAGTGAATTTGGATTTTTTTTTCTCAGACTGCTTTTATCTCAGGATGTAGAAACAAAGTTAGGGTCCTCCAAGTTCGCTATTGCTCCTTCTAGATAGTTAAGGACTCTCAACTCAGCAAAAAAACCTTGCTCTTTAGAGAGGCTCATCTAGCTATAATCACTTACTCCCTTCGATGTAGCAGTCATGTACAAACCTGCTTACTAATCCCCTCCTCTTTTATTGATGACTTTAATGTTTAACTTACAAAAGTCACGTCTTCTCCAATTTCTGTAATCACGCTAGGTGTCTTTGATGGGTATCCAGCACCTGACATCTAGCTCCCTAAGGCCCTCTCCAACTGCATTTTCCTCCATTCCTCTTACTTCCAAGGTTAAGGTGCAGCTTTTGCCACTTCCAGAAATTTCTCCTCCTCTGAAGTCATGAAGTCAAACATTTAGTCCTTAATCATACATAACCTTTTGTCCTCTGAGTTGCTCATGCATCTCAACACAATTATTAAATCTTATAAA